AGGGTACAAGTTTCTCTAAAGTTTAGCGTAAATAATGTCATGACGGAATACTTTAATTAGAAAATAATTTTTATCTTCCGAGATTAAGCAAGTATGAAATAGTTGGAATCTTGCAATAAATTGAAGATTTAATGAACTTTTTAAAGTGCGTAAAAATGCGTGATTGCAGGGAAACGGTAAATGCGTGATATTGCGTCAGAAATAGGAAATGGTATATGCGTTGAAATGCGTGACTGCGGGGAAGGGGGTTAACCATGTCAACACAATAATAAAATAAAGTGCCCCGCCACAGCATGATACGCCCGGCAAATATTGTTCAATAATCATAAATTGGTTAGGATGCAAGAAAATCAGGTAGGGGGCACAGCATGATACGCCCGTCAAATATTGTTCAATAATCACAAATTGGTTAGGATGCAAGAAAATCAGGTAGCCTTGATTAACAGATTGACACAGATTTCGATTATCTAAGAAGAAAAGTCGTTATTTATCATAATTGGCCCTGTAAAAATATGAAAAAATAAAGTGGAGCAATTTTTTAATTTATGGTCTATAAGATATGTTTAGGGCACTAACTTTAAGATGTAAGTATTAGTTTGGTAAAAAGCGCGCGCGATTGGTAACAGTGAAAGTCAAAACCGGGAAAGTATTCCGAAAATCTACATTTTTTGGCATATTCAATGTATATAAACGCAATTTTTAATGTGTCCGCATTCGAGTATGTATTCCAAACTTTGTCAAATGCAAAATCATATCATAATCATTTATTTTAACATTTAATTTTGACCTTACAAAGATGCGGACATGACGAATTTTAATAAATTGTGTTTCGCAGATAAAGATAAATCATGACAATAATGACGATTTTCTTCATTATGCTTATTTCACAAATATCTAATGACCCTTTTCTTCCAGATAAATTTCACAACAAGAAAACACTACAATGACTAAAATTGTTCATATAATAAAAGTAAATGTGCCTGTGTTTTTAAAAAAGTTAACTACGTAATTATATTGTTTTATCTGTACATGACAAGTCGTAAATTACATTGAAATATCTAAATGAAACCTTTGATGAATCTAAAATAATCACTCTTATAATGAAGTATTTATGTATTTATTTTTTTATAATCAACATTTAATAGTACGAAAAATAATATATTTCCAATGAATACCTCTTTTAAAAATTACGTTGATTTAACTACCGGTAAAACGGCGTGTTGATGACGTCGATAACATAAACAAAATGACGTCATAATACACCTGAGAGAGACAACTTATTACTTGTACCTGTGCTGGATTGATGGGTGTAAACAGGAGAGAAAAGATTTGTTTGAACAGTCTTTTCGGTCGATTAGTCGAGAGGGAGAGAGAAAGAGAGAGAGAGCATGTATATGCCGAAAAATGATTCTTGATCAGTGATTTTATTCCTGGATAAGAAATAAATATATATGAAGATGTTGTAAGACTGTGGTATTTACATCTATGCATTCTACTCTGTTATAAATGTATATAATAGTCAAGAAGGAATACTATTGTATCTCATATACATATAATATTTTTTGGGAAATATTCACACACACACACGCAGTACAATTGAGCATCGTTAGGCCAAATATATGATTGATTAAATATTATTGCCTAATCAAATTAATTCTTTTGTTTTATTAGAGATTTTATATCATAAGATTATTTAATGCCTTTTTCTGGTCTATTGACTGATCAGGCATTAAAAATTTGTTTTATTACCTAATTTTATTTTTCGTTTTTAGCTCACCTGAGCCGAAGGCTCAAGTGAGCTTTTCTGATCACATTTTGTCCGTCGTCCGTCCGTCTGTCTGTAAACTTTTCACATTTTCGACTTCTTCTCAAGAACCACTGGGCCAATTTTGACCAAACTTGGTACAAAGCATCCTTGGGTAAAGAGGAATTTAAATTGTTAAAATGAAGGGACATATCCCCTCGCAAGGGGAGATAATCAAGAAAAGACAAAAATAGGGTGGGGTCATTAAAAAATCTTCTTCTCAAGAACCACTGGGCCAGTAAAGCTGAAACTTATGTGGAAGCATCCTGGTATAGTGTAGATTCTAAATTGTTCAAATCATGACCCCCGGGGGAAGGGCGGGGCCACAATGGGGATTCAAAGTTTTATATAGAAATATATAGGAAAAATCTTTGAAAATCTTCTTCTCAAGAACCACTGGGCCAGAAAAGCTGAAACTTATGTGGAAGCATCCTGGTATAGTGTAGATTCTAAATTGTTCAAATCATGACCCCCGGGGGAAGGGCGGGGCCACAATGGGGAATCAAAGTTTTATATAGAAATATATAGGAAAAATCTTTGAAAATCTTCTTCTCAAGAACCACTGGGCCAGAAAAGGTGAAACTTATGTGGAAGCATCCTGGTATAGTGTAGATTCTAAATTGTTCAAATCATGACCCCCGGGGGAAGGGCGGGGCCACAATGGGGATTCAAAGTTTTATATAGAAATATATAGGAAAAATCTTTGAAAATCTTCTTCTCAAGAACCACTGGGCCAGAAAAGCTGAAACTTATATGGAAGCATCCTGGTATAGTGTAGATTCTAAATTGCACAAATCATGACCCCCGGGGGAAGGGCGGGGCCACAATGGGGAATCAAATTTTTATATAGAAATATATAGGAAAAATCTTTGAAAATCTTCTTCTCAAGAAAGAACTGGGCCAGAAAAGGTGAAACTTATATGTGGAAGCATCCTGGTATAGTGTAGATTCTAAATTGTTCAAATCATGACCCCCGGGGGTAGGGCGGGGCCACAATGGGGAATCAAAGTTTTATATAGAAATATATAGGAAAAATCTTTGAAAATCTTCTTCTCAAGAACCACTGGGCCAGAAAAGCTGAAACTTATTTTGAAGCATCCTGGTATAGTGTAGATTCTAAATTGTTCAAATCATGACCCCCGGGGGAAGGGCGGGGCCACAATGGGGAATCAAAGTTTTACATAGAATTATATTTAGGAAAAATCTTTGAAAATCTTCTTCTCAAGAACCACTGGGCCAGAAAAGCTGAAACTTATGTGGAAGCATCCTGGTATAATGTAGATTCTAAATTGTTCAAATAATGACCCCCGGGGGATGGGTGGGGCCACAATGGGGAATCAAAGTTTTACATAGAAATATATAGGAAAAATCTTTGAAAATCTTCTGATGAAGAACCACTGGGCCAGAAAAGGTGAAACTTATGTGGAAGCATCCTGGTATAGTGTAGATTCCAAATTGTTCAATCATGACCCCCAGGGGAAGGGGGGGGGCACAATGGGGTATCAAAGTTTTATATAGAAATATATAGGAAAAATCTTTGAAAATCTTCTTCTCAAGAACCACTGGGCCAGAAAAGCTGAAACTTATGTGGAAGCATTCTGGGGTAGTGTAAATTCTAAATTGTAGGAATCATGACCCCCGGGGGAAGGGCGGGGCCATTATAGGGAATCAAAATTTTACATAGAAATATATAGGAAAAATCTTTGAAAATCTTCTTCTCAGGAACCACTGGGCCAAAAAAGCTGAAACATATGTGCCAATGGAAGGATCATGGGGTAGTGTAGATTTCAAAATGTCTAAATTATGATCAGTGGGGTAATGTGGGGATGCATTATGTATAACAAAGGTGAAATCTGGTAAAGAACAGAATGGTCAAAGCTTCTCAGGTGAGCGACGTGGCCCATGGGCCTCTTGTTTAAAAGTGTTCACAATTGCATATTACAGAAGGTTCCGGACAATTATGAATTCATCGTAAAATTAATTCCTATGGTGCATCTGAGTTTTCAATTAAAGATTGATTGTATAGACTATTGTTTGAAATTACCCTCGAGAATTTTTCAGTGATATATTGAAACGCCTACATTTGCCGATAGAGAGCTGCAAATTCTGTCCTTGAATCACTCGGCACTTAGTGCCATTGAGCAATGCGGGACCTTTTTCGTGCCAGCAGTGCACCTACTAAAACACAGGACTCTCATTAAATAAAATATCCTACCATTGAAATCATACAATTTTTAAAAACGATGTCCAAAGATCAAGTATGATGAGAGGTCCCATGTCGCAGTAGGTGCACTGCTGGCACGTAAAAGTTCCCTCACTGCTCGATGGCCCTAAGTGCCTTTATTGCTTACAAATCTTTCAAAGGAACTTCTTCCGATTCAAGAAATACAAGAAATGTGGAAACATACATAAAAGTATTAAACTTTGTAAACAATAAATACTTTGTTTTGATGTTTACTCTCTTAATTGAGGTCTTATTTATCTTTAGTAAAATCGTTTGTTCGCACGGTCACTGAAAGTTGCGCAGTTTGCACTTACGTAAAATAAAGGTCCAGGTAGATACGAATCATTTTAATTAAAAAAAACAAGATATCTTTCACCTATTGTTACAGAACAATACATTTTATTTCTAATTTAGAACCCATAACAGACAAGTTTGAGATTTTTATATTGATTCGTTATGTATGTTCTATTTAAAATTACTTTTCATTCAAGAAGTACATGTAGAATCGTTTTTGGAAGGGGGCGGCCAGAGAAAAAAATCAACTCACCTCAATAATCTTGAAAAGTGGAAAAAAAAAGAAAAGAAAAAAGAGAAAATGTTCAAACTCGAAAAAATACTTTTCGTTTTTTTTTTGGGGGGGGGGGGAGGGGGGGGATGGGTCTAAATTCTTCGGTATAATTTTTTTTTACTAACACATACTACTGTCTGGGAAAGGTTGGGGACCCCCTTCCTTAACTTACCCTGATGTAACGTGCCTGCAGTTGAATATTTAAATTGAGTGATATAGATATAGTTCAAAGATTTATAAGTTTAATATATAATGGGGGGGGGGGTGCTTTGAGATGGAAGGGGTCTGTAGAAATCGCAAATGCTAAATCGCCGATTAATGAAAGAATTATTTCATTGAGCGGATTAACATGTACACTAGAATTGCAATGATTTGTGACATTAAGCGTTTCATAACAATGCTAAATGATATTTGTAGCGGTTGCAACAGGGCTTCCGGGGACAGGGGGAGGGGGAGTGTTGAATTCTCCCAAGAATATTTTTGACGCCCGAATGGCTCTTAGTTTACTTCATCTTACCAACGGCAGCAGGGTAGTGGGTATGTGTGCGCATGACACGAGTATGGTTTGGTTTTCGGCATTTTTGTGCCTCGAGAATGTTCCTCGGACAGGTACAGAACTGGGAAATCTCTGTGGTTGTAAACGACAGTGAGGTCACTAAAAAAAATAATGATTCCGGAGATTCTTAATTGTTCAAAAATATTTACAATAAAATTTGAATACCCATACTACATGCACATGGTAACTTCTCGGGTCTAACTTAACGACAATAAAAACATAGTACATAATATTCCAAGATTGATATCTCTCACAGAATTCATACAATGTATATTATATGTACAAATCATTATTCTATCGCCTTAATTTCATTTTGCTTGATGCGTTCATTACAAATTCTTTCCAATTTTATATCTTGGATATATTTGAAAGATATAAATCTAACTACTACATGTACTAGTTTTTACATGTAATATTCAATAAAAGAGTTATACAACCTTCTGGGGGGACTTGAGAAGATGTGATTGTTTTTGCTTTACTGGTATTGTTTATGGTATTGTTTACGAATATCTGTGTACCTTTACTTCATGAAATTGTTATCTTATTGAAATTATTATAATTTGTTAAAGATAAAATTATTTAGCGTTAATTAATACTGCACATGTATATTTAGAATATATTTTTTTATGTTTGTTATTGTTACAGAATTTTAATTCATAAATATATTAATATAATTCAAGAAAATAAACTCTTAACAGCTATTCTCTCCAAAACGTTTTATGCAATTAACGATTTAGCAAAGACTTGTGTATCGTAAAAAAAAAAATTCAAAATCGCTATTTCAAAAATACAGGAACTAAATAAAAGATTGGGTTATTGAGTTAACACATACAAGAAAAAGAAATATAGAAAAAACTTAATATATTTGAAAATTAATATATTTTGAAACATGTACATTTTGAAAGTTGGCGATAAAAAATTGATAACGTTATGTTTACATCGCGACGTCATGCCGTCAAGCACGACTTTTGCGGAATATCATGCCATTTTTAAGAGGCTCCTGACTAAAAACTAAAAGTGGTATTGGAGAAATTTAAACTGTTTTGGAAACTAGGCATTAAAGACACCTTTTGAAAAATCCCTCATCAGATTCAATCACAGGGCCGATTATAAACCATAACGACTCTTCTTCTTTCCATTTCTATTTATACATCTCTAAGAGACTTACAGTGTAGGGATTGATTATAACAAATAATACTAGTGAGACCTGACTGCAATTTGTCGCAAATATATAAATTTTTCAATGAACACATGTATAATTAGTTTTAATCATATTGTACAATACTATTTTAGCTTTAATCATACACTAAAACATTAACTTGTTTTAATTAATTACACCAATTGAAAGATCTTTATCTGGACTAGCCATCAAGAACTCTTAATTAACACAACAACTATGAGGCCATTTCTTTTTGCCAAACTCCCAAGAGATAAATTAAGACAACAGCTGCACCAGATCTAGAGATGCTCTTAGCTCCTGACAATAAACTCGTTAATTTCTCTCTAATTTGACATGCAAATTTCTGCTATCAAAATTCTTCTTGACCAGTGCTTGATAATTAACCCCATGGGACAAACTGAATTCCTCTCAAAGCATAAACATTTGTTACAGATTGCTGTAAAGTATATAATGATAATATAATATATAATAAGTTTTTACTTAATTTAACGTTTTTTAATAAGCATACAACTATATTTTTACATTTTTTAGGATTATGAAATATAGAATTTAAAAGACTTAGTTTTTAAAAAAAAAAATCACTTTAATTAAAGGTCACAGTGACCTTGAAATAGGCCATGAAACACCTTCTATTTTAGATGTATACTTTTGCCAAGTTTGAAAGCTCTAGGTCTAATCGTTTTTTAGTTATGAGCCGGACAGGATTTTTCCATATTTTGCTATAGTATCTTTGTTGCAAATATATAAAAATTGAAATATATATTTTTTCAATGAACATATATATAATTAGTTTTAATCATATTATACAATACTAATTTAGTTTTAATAATACACTAAAACATCAATTTGTTTTAATTTCATTTCACCTATTGAAAGATCTTTATCTGGACTAGCCATCAAGAACTCTTAATTAGCACAGGCAACTATGAGGCCATTTCTTTTTGCCAAACTCCCAAGAGTTAAATTTAGATAACATCTGCATCATATCTAGAGATTGCTCTTAGCTCCCGACAATAAACTCATTAATTTCTCTCTAATTTGACATGCAAATTTCTGCTATCAAAATTCTTCTTGACCAGTGCTTGATAATTAAGCCCATGGGACAAATTGAATTCCTCTCAAAGCATAAACATTTGTTACAGATTGCTGTAAAGTATATAATGACAAGTTTTTACTAATTTAACGTTTTTAATAAGCATACAACTATATTTTTACATTTTTTAGGATTATGAAATTTAGAATTTAAAAGACTTTTCTTTTTTTTTTAAATTTACTTTAATTAAAGGTCACAGTGACCTTGAAATAGGCCTTGACACACCTACTTTAGATGTATACTTTTGCCAAGTTTGAAAGCTCTAGGTCTAATAGTTTTCTAGTTATGAGCCGGACAGGATTTTTCCATATTTTGCTATAGCATCTTTGTTGCAAATATATAAAAATTGAAATATATATATATTTTTTTCAATGAACATATATATAATTAGTTTTAATCATATTATACAATACTAATTTAGTTTTAATAATACACTAAAACATCAATTTGTTTTAATTTCAATACACCTATTGAAAGATCTTTATCTGGACTAGCCATCAAGAACTCTTAATTAGCACAGGCAACTATGAGGCCATTTCTTTTTGCCCTACTCCCAAGAGATAAATTAAGATAACATCTGCATCAGATCTAGAGATTGCTCTTAGCTCCTGACAATAATCTCATTAATTTCTCTCTAATCTGACATGCAAATTTCTGCTATCAAAATTCTTCTTGACCAGTGCTTGATAATTAAGCCCATGGGACAAATTGAATTCCTCTCAAAGCATAAACATTTGTTACAGATTGCTGTAAGGTATATAATGAAAAAACAAGTTTTTACAAAATTTAACGTTTTTAATAAGCATACAACTATATTTTTACATTTTTTAGGATTATGAGATTTAGAATTTAAAAGACTTAGTTTTTTAAAAAAGTTCACTTTAATTAAAGGTCACAGTGACCTTGAAATAGGCCGCAACACTTTCTACTTTAGATGAATACGTTCGCTAAGTTTGAAAGCTCTCGGTCTAATAGTTTTCTAGTTATGAGCCGGACAGGATTTTTTTCCATATTTGGCTATAGCATCTTTATTAAAGGTCAGAGCAACCTACTTTTTGTGCGTGCCACACCGTCTACCCAAGAAGTATAAGTTGACAAAGTTTGATAATCCTAGGCCTAATAGTATTCAAGTTATGAGCCGGACAGGAATGGACAGACGGACAGACAGATAGACGGACGGACGGACATGAAGCCTATAACATAATACGTCCCGTCTTAAGACGGGCGTATAAAAAGCCTTTTGTATAGAGCAACTGACAAACTTTTAAAACAGTCAATTTGATTTATGTCATTGGAGTGCATGATTATCATCTCAAATCAAAAATTCTAATGCACTCTAACTCCAAAGTCTCTCAGTGAAAAGAAGGGCATGAGCTCGAATTTCAGCCGCAACCGACCTAAGTTGAAAGTGAATAGGTTGGAAGTGTCCCGTCGATCGGCCTACGGATGAGACCTCAAAGACTGAGGTCCCGTGTAACGACAGGAGTTGGCACAAAAAAGATACCTCTCTGCTCGATTGCCCTGTGTTCAAAATTAGGTCTAAATTTAAAGCCCTTCACCAGTATATGATGAAATCTCTATCAGAGAGATTGTATTTTGTTTTATGCCCAGTTTGGGAATTTTTCTCTGGTATAAAGATAAGACTATATATGCTAGGTACTTAGCCGTTTGGGTGAAAGTTGCGGTCCTGTTGATGAGACCTTATAAACCAAGGCTTACGTCATATCGATCCCTCACTGCTCAATGGCTCTGTGTTCAAAGTAAGGTTTAGATTTGCAGCCCTCCAATGGTGTATGACGACATCTCTTTATAAGAGTGACAAAATGTTCCCAGTTCCGAGAATTTTTCACTCATATAGAGATGTCACCAAATACTGGTGAAGGGCTTTAAATTCAGACCTAACTCGGTTCTCAGGGGAATTGAGCAGTAGGGTTCTTTATCGTGTCAGCACCTGTCCTGCTGTACATACCCAGTCATGGATGTATTGTAATAGAGTTGACACAAACATGTTGCTCACCTGACCACACATTTTAAAAAGTTTCATTTTTACTCTGCAGAAACAGCCAGAATTCTAGCGGTACAGCCAATTGCCTTTTATGCTTACATGAGTGGCAATTTGAAAAACCCTGGTGGACACCATATCCTGATATTTGACACAGTTAAAACCAATCTAGGCAACGGATACCATCCTCATATTGGAGTGTTCATCGTACCTAAATCTGGAACGTATTTCTTCACTTGGACAATGTATCACGAGGAATCTTCTTATCACTCAACAGAACTGGTGGTTAACACTGTCGTTCATGGCATGATTTATGCTCATACAAATTCAGGCGAGCAAGATACTGCTACTGGAAACCTCATCCTTACTGTGAACGCAGGGGACGAAGTCTATATTCGAACGAAAGAAAATCTAAACCTTGGTGTCATTTTGAGTGATGCATACGGCAGAACAGATTTTTCTGGATTTCTTATCCAATAAATTTTAAAGTTGTTTATCACCTCTTTGAGGAGAGGGCATATTGCTTAGCTCTGTTTGTCGGTTGGTTAGTTCACTAAGTTTCTCTTTATTTTCTTCACAACTGTTACACATGTCTCATACTTGAATGAAAACATCTTTATCATAAAAAAAAATGTCTAGGTCAAGTTAAGTTTCGAGTACACTCGAGCAATTTTTTGACAGAATTATGCCCCGTCGACTTCATTTTTTTTATTTTGCAGATTCCGTTCATTTCCTCTGCAACGATTACGCAAACTGAAATTTGGTATCCAGATTTATCATGAGATTCTTTTTTTAGTAAAATTCTTTATTTTAATATGATCGAGCCAATATTGACAGTGTTATGCCACTTGGACTTTGACAAGTTCCAATTTATACAGGGAGGGGGTGTACGTGTTTTATATTTCACACAAAGATTCCTCCTGACCTTCGGGTATGTCATGACCTTTACCAAGCTCATTTTGGGAAGTTTAAAGTAACAGGAAGAAATACTTTATAATTTGAGTCCGGTCCAGATCTGTCTTAAGGATAAACTTGGTAGGTTATAACTTCACACAACGATTCAACCTGACCTAAGGGTGTGTCATGACCTGAAACCAAGGTCATTTGGGGTCCGTATATTAAGTCTATTTTTTATTAGGCTGCGCTTTCGTTTCATTTATGAAAAATATAATGAGCAATTACAACTGCACTAAAAATGTTTTAGCATCTCTTCTCTTAGATCCATAAAATATTCATGATTTAGCACCCCTGTAAAACCCAGCGGGGGTATTTTGTCCTGTTTTGACAGTTCTAGTTTTGATGTATTTCCGGAGGTGCGCACGGCGCCCCTATTGTCAAGTCATACCCAGTTAATAGACCTACATTTCCTTAAGTGCAATGTTATCCCCTTTGACTACAAAGATGTGCCATAAAATTATTGTTAAAATGTAAATATACATTTAAAGGAAGTCTTGCACAATGGTTATGCTAGCAGCTGTTGTCTCTTACATTAACGAGCACTTCATTTAATTTTATTATAGTGAAAATACTAAACGAATTTCATGACTTTTGCCTTTGGGCCAATTCCTAGAAAGATGCCTACGAACAGGCTTGCACCCCAAACGATTTTGATTGAAGGGAATTTTCCATACCTCTTGTGATATACTTGAACTAAATGATTCTTGACACCACGATAGGAACAAAATTGATTATTGGCATGACAAGTAGACTTGTCAAAACAGGACCCTCACATCTGCCCTGGTCCTTTGCTTCTTTTATTGGTCTGTCTGGAGTTGTCAAGGTCCTTCGGAGCTGGCTGTGGCCTTCGTTGTTGGGTTTGGTCTGCGAACACACATTGCACTCGCTGGTCCTCCATATGGTTCTATACTATCTAGAGCGACTTTGGTGCCTTCCGCAAGGGCTATCTTCAGGTCAGTAGTTGGATTGTCGTCATCCTTACCAGTACCTTCTTCTTCTTGGGTGGCCATTTACAGAGGTATTCCAGAAACTTAAAATTCAACGGGGCAACAAATACTCTAAGCTTCTCAAGGAGACCCATTCAAGCCAAGTAGGTGATGCTTTCCTCGTCCATTAAACAGTCAGCAGCCAGTTTCTGCACTCTGTAGAGATTCTTGTCTATTAATTCTTCAGTTCCCTGTTTCACCTGCATCAAGGCTTGGCTAATGGGGACCGTCGGGCGGAACTTAGAAAAGAAGGCATCTCTGATGCGGCTTAGTGACTTTTGGACTTTTGCGAACTGATATGTCCCTTCATTTTAACAATTTAAATTCCCCTTCAAAATTGGCCCAGTGGTTCTTGAGAAGAAGTCGAAAATGGAGAAGAAGGCATCTCTGATGCGGCTTAGTGACTTTTGGATACAGTATGTAGGTGCGTGAAGAATTGACGGACTATTCCTATCAAATTAAATGGTAATTGCTTAAGGGCTTTTGTGTCGGTGACTGAGTGCTGTGGACCAGGCATGATAATTAAGATCTTGATCTGCATAATCTACATTATACCAGGATGCTTCCATATAAGTTTCAGCTTTTCTGGCCCAGTGGTTCTTGAGAAGAAGATTTTCAAAGATTTTTCCTATATATTTCTATCTAAAACTTTGATTCCCCATTGTGGCCCCGCCCTTCCCCCGGGGGTCATTATTTGAACAATTTAGAATGTACATTATACCAGGATGCTTCCACATAAGTTTCCAGCTTTTGTGGCCCAGTGGTTCTTGAGAAGAAAATTTTCAAAGATTTTTCCTATATATTTCTATGTAAAACTTTGATTCCCCATTGTGGCCTCGCCCTTCCCCAGGGGGTCATGATGTGAACAATTTAGAATCTACACTATACCAGGATGATTCCACATAAGTTTCAGCTTTTCTGGCCCAGTGGTTCTTGAGAAGAAGATTTTCAAAGATTTTTCCTATATATTTCTATATAAAACTTTGATTCCCCATTGTTGCCCCGCCCTTATCCCGGAGGTCATGATTTGAACAATTTAGAATCTACAGTACCCGAAGATGCTTCCACATAAGATTCAGCTTT